GAATCCACGAAGGCAATGCAATTGATGAAATTTCTGAGGTTTTTTTACTTTTGACTGTATTTGGTAAACTGACCCTTTACATCATAACATCAGTATGCGTATTCTCCATACTGTTTCTATATAATTTCTAAGGTGCTGACAGGGAGAATTTGTTTAATAATCGAAAGCTTCTTTAATTGGCGATCATTTGAAATACTCATTTCTAATTTCCGAGCGTCTTATTTCATCTTCCCTCACCCCACACCTACAGCCCCCCCCCGCCCCCCCCAAAAAAAAAAATTCCGTTCGTATTGCAGGGGTATGCGATATTAATATGGGCTAAGCAATGATTTAGCTCGCTCCTGAAAACATAGCTTAGTCGATATCTTCCTAAATCTCATATTAAAGAACTCACATTTTTGCTTCCAGTGGAAACAGAGGTTGGTACGCGACATCAAGAAGTGATACATTGGCACCGGACAGGTGAGTACAACCCTTAAAGAGAGGCCTTGTTATAATGGCTTAATGGCAGCCAGTGAAGGGATGATCATTTCGACTATTTAAGCAAGATCTCTGTATATTTCACCGACAGCTTAAGTCAAACATCTAGCTGTAGTGTTCAAAACATAGTTTTCACGTGGAAAACAATGTAATACTTCCTTCTTTCGAATTTTGGGAACATACAATTTTTTTTTCACTTTAGTTGTGGTTTTATAAATGATAATTACCACCAGTTTTCCGATAAAGCGAGATGATGCTCTAATGGTAGGAAAATTCACCCTCAGTAGATTTTTTGATGAAAAGGAACTAGCTTACACGCAAAACTAACGCATAAGAGAAAAAAGAGTATTTTAATTTTTTTTTAGCCTTTAGAAAGCAATAACCAAGAATTCCTCTTGACCTTGTTGGCATTGCTGAGCCTCTTGGTCGTGTTCGCAGGTTATCCTGTTGTCAGTAAGAGATGAAATCTGAAAGTTCAAACGTACATGTTATCAAGAAAAATATGGTGGAATATGGAATTTTAGTCGTATTGGGTAGAAAACGTCCCAACATCCAAACCGGGAACCTAAAACAGATAATAAGTTAAAATGAGGATAAATGTTGAAAACTAAATAATCAGCTAGGCGAGATGTATCATAAAAGCAAACGTAAGTCCTATCAATCTAGTAGATTTGTACAATCATTATAGTAATTCTCCTATTCTTTATAATAGCTAAGCCATGAAAAAGGGCTCTGTGCATCATTTAAAAAAACAGTATAGAACAGCTTTAAAGATATGATAATAATAATAATGATGATGATGATAATAATAATAATAAAGGCTTTATTACGGTCTATCCATAGAATGGCTCTTCACCAGAGTAAACTAACTAAGTTAATCTATGCTAAAAACTAATGTTATTATATGATAATATACAATTAATAATTATAATACAAAGCATTTGGAATTAAGACCGAGCAAATTACGATAGACGAGATTTCAAAAAAGTAAAGGCCTGTTTTAAAAATGATTTTCTGTCCACACACGATTTTGTCCCTAAAGCGTAGTGAAGATCAGGGCAGCAGTGTCCTGAAAAGTATTACTAACACGCGGAACCACCAGGTTGACTGTACTATTTGATCTAAGAAGTCGTGTGTGTTTCACCTTTTCGAGTCTTAAAGTTTGAGGCCAATTGTGGCTATATAAAGCTTTATTGGCCGTCTTCAGTAGATGCCAGTCTCGACGCTCTCGTACCGGTAGCCAACCTAACTTAAGTAAGGATTCAAAACTATTTACGTATCGACCTGTTGCAAAGCTAGCGGCAGTAAATTGAATGCGTTGAAGTCTCTTCAAGGGATGCTGGGGAAGTGGGAACATGACTATATCACAATAGTCTAGTCTGGAGAAAATAAGAGTAAAATGTTTGATTTTCCTGAGGCTTGCGAGAGTAGCATAGCATGATGATGTTGAGTTCTTGACGTGTTCATCCCAAAGAAGATTCTCATTAAGGTGGACGCCAAGTAGTTTAATTTGGTGTTCTTGATTCTTTCAAGATCCTTTCCTCCACCAGCCAAGTCTTGCCCTGGGGTATGATGGTATAGGGTCGTATCGTCAGCGTACTGTGAGCATTTTATAGATGCAGGGATGACGTCTTTTAAGTCCGAAACGTACAGATTAAAAATCATAGGTCCCAGTATAGATCCTTGGGGAATCCCGAAAGCAATTGTCTGGCAAGACGAAGATTTGTCGTCGATCTGTACGAATTGACAGCGATCGCATAAGTAGCTTAGAAGCCACTTCAGAGAGGGCTTGGTAAACCCTAACTTGTGGAGCTTTAGCAAGGTAGTTCTGAAACAAATAGTGTCAAATGCCTTGCTAAAATCTGCCATAACCATAAGGGTAACTTCCCCTTTATCCATAGCTTTCCGGATATCATCTCTCACGCCCAGGAGTGCAGTTGTTGTTGAGTAACCCTTCCGGAAGCTTGAGAGACCCTCATGCAAAATGGAGGCCCTCTTAGCAAATGACATTATTTGTATTCCAACAGCTTTCTCAAATACTTTGGATAAAACCGGAAGTATCGAGATAGGCCGCAGTTCATTCATCGACGTTGGGTTGACCACCTTAGGAATAGGAGAGACTCTTGCCATTTTCCATTTTGTAGGAAAATATGATCGCTTTATGAAGTTGTTTATGATGTGCGTAAGCCAGGTAAAGTCAGGTAAATAAGATTCTCCACAGTTTCTTCTCTTCTTTAATATTCGATCCTGTAATTCCTGTTTTCGACTTTTTATAAGGGAAACGTTTCCCCAACATTAGCTTATTGCTGCAATCAGATTTGCATCTCAAGGTAACTCTAGTAGCGTACGAGAAGTCGTACTCTAGGAACATTTCAATCCATGAATTACTTGTGTATCATTGGTCAAAACGTTGGGCTATTCAAAGAGACATAATTTAAGTAATGATACCAATCAAAAGAAGTTTATTATGAAAGCACTAATGTTTTGACTTCCTAAGAGTAGAAAAGAGATTCCAATTGATCGAAGAAAAGTTAGAGACGAAGTTGATTGGAACTGCGGTGTTTTGCTTCAAAGGAATCAGAAAATATCCCAATTTAACTTTTCAGTTCACTGTCGATACGAAAATTAAGAAAGGTTTTGGTGAAGTTTTAGGTTCTCTTCAAGTAAGTCGTAATTTGACAACTAGTATCCGTCATATCCGTTGTTGGTTAAGTAAAGTACCGAGTCAATTAGCCTTCTTTCATTAAAGTTGAAGATAAAGATTGACTTCGAACGAGACTTCTATTATAAGATATCTCACAGTTGTAGGGTTTCAGAGCTTTATGTCAACATGAACTCAAAATAAAGAATTTTAGACATCCAGTGCTCACGTGGCTCTTTCTTTTCTCTGGTAACCTTATCGCGGTCTCGGTTTAGTACGAAAGATTTCGTGTATTTCTTAGAATGCGTTGTCAAGAAAAGAGCGGCAAATGTTTGACTTGATAATAGCCTTTCGTTTTCTAGAGTTATCTTGAAAGAATTTGCAAGGCTTCAGAACTAGGACAACCTCACCTGTTTGCGAGCAGAAGTTACAGGAGTCAGAGGACAGAGCATAAGCGAAAGACGACTATTGTAAAATTTTGACAGCTTAGTGCAAGTACTTATAAATGTTTTTACCTGGGAAGTGATCCCCGATAAAACGGACGAAGGCGATCGTTAGTAAAAATCCCACTCAAGAGGTACCAGAATCTCACGTGGCCAACATTTATTATCGCCCCTGTAATAGAGGGGGACCTCAATGAGAAAAAAAAACGAAAATAATTGTGGGAAGAAAAGAGTAAAAACCATCTTTTTTTATTTCCCCTGCTCTGTATTTCGGTCTCTATTAGCTACGTGAGCCAGTGTCCATCACTCGTATGAAAACTAACTGAACGATAAGATTTCAATCAAAGAATGCTTAACCCCCTGCAAGTTCATCTCACTCTGAAAGTAAAATCAAGCTTAACGCTTAAGTGGGTTTACCTTTGTCACAATGAGGAAATAATGTTCAGAACTAAGGCTTTTCACATGACTCGTTTTAAACCAAGCTCGGAGTTTTTCGTAAAAGACCACGGTATGCATAATCTCGATCCCACTTTCTTGACGGTAGGAACGAAGAACCAGTGTCTCAGAAGGCCTACCCCGTGCCTCTCTCATCTCCGTTTGACCTAGTTAGCCCTTGCCTCCCCTCCCAGCTATTCAAATTCACTCGATAGACCAGATGCAATCATGCATGATTTTGGGTTTGTTCAAGCTCCCTTTCGCTTTTAGCAGGGACACTGTTGAGCTGCCGTAAGATTTCTATTCTACAGAAAGGTGACCTGGTTAGAAGTAAAATTATATAACAACATAAATTTACGTGAGCTCCGGGATAAAGCAACCGTGCTATCAACAAGAAATACAAATTCAGTCGAGCGTGAAATCGCTTCACTAAACACACCGATTAAAAATAACATGACCAAATGAGGCTGTGTCCTTCAAGCGATTTATAGATCCCATGATCGCTAGTCGCCTTAAGCATTCACTAACTTACGCTTTTTAAAAAGACACCGCGAAAATAATGTTGATGATCTTTCTCGATTCTTCAGGAGTCGGTGACACTGCATGCCTCCTAAGAACTAAGTAGATGAATGTAAAAAAATAAAAACATTACAGCTCATAGCAGCTTGATGCCAAACTAAAAAAGTGGATCGCATTGTCTTATCCCATGTATGGTCCCTTCAATTTCAATATCTTTTGGCCATTGCTAGCCATCGAATGAAGATTTAACAAGAAAACTTCTCTAAGAAAACGATATTACATACATACATAATCTGATGATCTCTCTAGCTACGCCATTCTGCAATCGAGGCACTTTCTAGATAACCAATGAACTGTCTCTCGCTGTTGTGACTGGCATTTAGTGACAGCAATCTATTCTTTTGCTCATTAAGAAAGGTGCAAGCTTGGGCACATCTGGGCCCTACGTGGCATTTAAAATTCCAGACTTGACTGAACGCTATTTTGCCTTTAAAAAACATTTCACCTCTCTGCATGACTTGCACTGCAGTTAAATACCTTATGTGAGTAAACAAAGCTTCACATCAGTGGCTCAAGAACGCTTCGAAGAGTGCGAATTTTATAGATGACGTCATCATCACTGAAGAATCAAGTAATTGGGTGGGAAATTCCCAAACGCGCAGCAATATTATTGAGGTTGCAATCATGAAATTTTCTCAACAGCGTATTGCTATTAAGAACGCTAAGGTCAACGACGAAATTTCACCAGCATCTCTTAGCTGTAACAGTCATTCAACTTTCTCGATTCTTAAAGGGAAGACTGCAACAGGTTTTATTGGCTGTAAGTACAAGACAAGTTACTTCTGTGGTCCCTTGGCTACTGTTTCACCAAGAAAGGATTCGAAAGATTTTGAAGTGTGGCGAAGTAAACAAAACTCTACCAGGGTCATGAACACATCGAAGGTTGCGAAGACGGAAACTTTTCGCGGTGACGTTCAGAGAATAATTCTCGTACTCATCGCTTATCAAGGGCATTCTTTTCGGTCCAAGTCAACAAATTTATGTTATAAGCAGCTCTATCAGCGCAAGGGAACGCATTCTGCGCAAATACTTCAACATACCAATAATAAACGGAAATAATTGCACCCATTAGAAAAAAGGCCAGTCGCCGCTTTGGTGGCAAAGACTTAGTTCGGACCTTACCAGAATTTTTGGTCAGCGATATTTGTTGTCCGCGCATGTAATGAGGCATAATGAGCTAGACAAACGACGCCGAACTGGAAAACGAAGTAAGAGTCAGAGCTTATTGCACATCTCAGTTCATAACTCCTTAGTCTACAGGCGAGCGGTAAGTAAGGATTTTATTATCTTTGCGACATTTTCTTCATAATCATAAGGTCTTCTTTAAATTTCACGTAGAGCAGAAAAAGGAGGCACACACGTGGTCGTGTGTAGGAATCAGGGTTTTCTATGGCTACTTTCGATTTTTTATTCTTAAAAGGCTAGTGCTTCTGTTGCCTCTCATATCTTTTTGTAAGATTTTACTTTTGAATTATTGAACATTCTAAAACGAGGATGTGTCCCCTGCCACCACGCCGATGAATCCGTTCCTAAACTCGTCGACGTTCACGGATTCATTGATGTCCCCAAGCTCTAGCTTTATATCCAAAACAGCTCAACAAAGTATCACATTACAGCTTAAAACTTGCTGACTGCTACCACGAACAAAAATCTGAAAAACAAAATCAGATAAATCTATTCAGTGTCACATAACACAGGAATAAGACAAAATGAAGGATCCCTATTCCTTTGCTTTCCATTCACCTTCAGTGTTCCGCGATACTCACACTGTAGACAAACACTTTACATTATACTGATAAAATACTGTTACGCTCACCGTTTTGTATTCGATGCAGGATCAAGAAAGATGGCAGCCCAGCAATTTCAGATGGTCTATGGATCCCTCTTTCCGCTGGGTGGAATCGCAACTGGATTAGACTGTGAGGTGAATTCTGGTTTTCCTAAAAAAAAAAATGAATAAAATACAATAAGTGTTAAACTACTCTTATCATGCAAAGGAAGAGCTATATTATCGGTCATAACCCTGCTAAGTTCAGGTTTTGTCAGGTTACAGTTTAAGAAAAATCGCACTGTGGTTGACTGAGGTGGGAAAATGAAGGTTTCATCCTCAAATTGGTTTTAAAAATAAGGCAAACTAGTTAGCCGCAGGTGAATTACAAGCCTGATACTTCTTATCGAAAATACCATGGGCTTTATCTTTATGGACTATCTTCCTTTAATCACATGCGCACTTTCCTCCAAAAACTTTCATCATTTTTTTTTTACTTTATTAGGGCGTTCATGAAATGTGGTTGACTGAGCGAGGAAAAATAGTGACCCAATGTTCACAGCAAAACGACTTGCGTATCGTTAACACGTAAGCAACAATGTAAAGTGATTTTTCTTTGAACTATACAACCCATTATGATCAAAGGCAGAGGACTACAAGAAGTAACCTGCACTGTTCCTAGTGGTTTTTTATGTTAAACCAGAGTAGCTGTTACTCCTTTGATGGTAATGTAACTCTCAGTAGTTATCACTGAAATCAAACTCATGAGAAAAAGGAAATGTTTTGAACGAGAAATAAACACTTTTTTTTTTTTTTTTTTTTTTTTTTAAGAAACTGCGGGTTTACATTGCGACCACGAGTATATAGGATGTCCGCTGCTGATCAGGTAAGCGTTAGCTGGGAGAAAATCTTATAACGCAGCACCCATATCCCCATTGTTATCAGGATACTTTGTTTCCCTCTTTGTTTCTTGTTTCTCTTACTACATTATCGTATACAAACGTCAAAAGGCTACATCAAAGAACCAACAAACATTAGCAAAACCTTAATTTTTTCTTAACTTCATTAGGGCTTTCATGAAATGTCGTTGACTGAGCGAGGAGAAATAATGACCCAATGTTCACAGCAAAACGACTTACGTATCCCTACCACGTAAGTAACAATCTAAAGTACTACAGGAGCTGTAATGCCAAATCTCGCGCTATATATAGAAAGGGCCATCAGGGCATTTTTTTGTCATCCACAGCTCCTGTGCCAATTATTCTTCTTTTTTATTTCTTGGTAATCATTAACAGGGTTAATTCCATGTATTTTTATCTAATGTAATAGTATACATTATTGGACATATTCAGATGATAGTTATGACAGTAGTTTTATAGATGATAGTGAACTGAATGATGTCTTTTACTTTGATGACTGGAGTAACATAAGACATTTCACAGATGATGATATATTAGAAGCAGACGAAGAATTACATAATATATTAGAAAATTTAAGAAAACCAAGAACACATTTATAGATATATTATCTATGCATTAATATAGACAATTTATTGTAATTAAATAATTCATGATGAATTGGATGATACAATATGTGACCCATTTGTTGTTTGAGTTGATAAATTCAAACATGGTGTTGTATGATGGTCTTTTACCTGTGATGTGGGTGATAATACTAATGTGTCATTATTATTGTTGCCTTAATAATAACCGGAAAGAATAATTTCATAATATCCATTTAGTATTACTTTTAATGTTTTGTTGGAATCAATGAATGTGAAATGTGATGAATGCGAAATAGTTGGATCTAAAGTGTTGAACTTAACATGAAAATTCAGCAAATATGGTTGGATAAAACCTTAAAAAGACAAGATAGGTGAAACTGTGACTAAGGCATTCAACAGCACATTAAAGGAAGGCAGACAACCACAATATCTATGGGTTTACATGGGTAAGGAGTTCTATTATAAACATCTCAAAGAATTATTAGACAAAAAGAGTGTTAAAATGTACTCAACTGAAAATGGAGAAAAATTCATTGTTGTTGAAAGATGGAACAGAACAATAAAACAAAGAATGTGGAAACAGTTCACAGTCCAAGGCAACACACAAGATCTTGACATATTGCCTCAAATAGTGTTAAAATACAACAACACAAAACATTCAAGCCTAAAAATGACACCAACTGAAGCAAGCATAAAGAAGAATAAAGGGACTGTTTATTTTAATTTATATGATGATATAGAGACATCAACAAAACCAAAATTCAAAGTTGGGGATAAGGTGAGAATATCAAAATACAAGAGTAAAAGATTTGTCAAAGGATATACTCCAAATTGGACAGAAGAGATGTTTATTGTTGACAAAGTTTTGTATACCAATCCCATCACTTACAAAATAAAGGATTTGAAAAATGAACCTGAATTATTGCAAGCAAAACATTAAGTTTTCAGAGTTTATTCGGAGAAAATATAAAAAGAAACAAGCTCCGGTGAAGTGGAAAGGATATGATGATGATTTCAACAATTGGATACCAATTAAGGATTTGATTAATATTAAAAAAGATAGTATATGAAAGACAGATATATTTCTTGTAACACAGAAAATAAGAGCTGTTTAATGGCTTTCAAGAGGCTGAAGCAGAAGATTATTTCATTAATAAGTCGTCATATGAAAAGAAGATTAAAGTAGTCAGATGAAAAGAAGTTTAATAAGTTGTTGAAGGAAAGAGAGTATAAAAATTACTACCGAGAGCCGTGTAATAACAAAAACCATTTTTCGGCTAAGAGCTGAGGGTGTAAAAACGACCCCCTGCTTCAGCCCATATAAAATTATCTCTAGGGATTTAAAGAACAATATGAAAAGTACTTAAACGTAAGTCACTTGTGTATAGTATAATAACTTTTAATGAATGGGTATGTAATAATGGTAATAATAATAATTTTAAGGTTAAAATAACAGCTCACATTGATGATGAACAGAATATCTGATTTAAGGGTAAACAAGTGGCTGAAATACTTAGAGATGTAGATACTAATCAAGCCATAAGAAAACATGTATACTCTGAGGACAAAAGAAAGTGGACCCGTTAAATCGACGGGTCTTTCTAAGGCTCATAAAAAAACCAAACGCACACATCACACCATATTCATCAATGAATCTGGGTTATACTCTTTATCATTATCAAGTAAATTAGAATCAGCTAAGAAGTTCAAACACTGGGTTACAAGTAAAGTACTTCCAACAATCAGTAAATATGGTCAGTATAGATTGTTTGATAATCCAGATAGTAAGATCTTTAAAATAGAGACAAGAGACAAATGTACATTATAAAGTTGTTGCATTCATTGGAAAGCGGTTTCAGGATACTACTAATACTATGGCCCAATGAGGAGAGAACTAAGATACGTCATACAAGAGAATTAGTTTTTATAAAAAAGGTATTACAGGTGGTCAACCAGATATTATTATTGCTGACAATCACCTTACTCACAGAGGCTTTCATGTGGAGTTTAAAACAATTGAAATTACAAGGTATCTGATAAACAATTAGCCATGATTGAAAAATACCAGAAGGATACAAGTGTACGATATCTAATGATTAAGATGAGACTACTTGAGAGACACGTGAATTTATGAAAGATGTTAGAATTAAATGTGACCATTGTAATATACAATTCAAAACAGATGAAACATTTGGTACACATTTGAAATACATTCATAAAATTGTTGAAGAGTAATTATGTATTGTTAAAGATCTTAGAATTAAATACATGTAGTTTATATTATTAAAACCAATTTAAGAGGAATGAAAATTAAAATGGATTTAAAGAACAACACAAAAGTATTTAAATGCAATACAGCTATATTTAATGTTAATGGAAATATTATCCAAAGCAAGAATATGAATAGACAGTATGGAAAAAATGAGCAAATCTGAATTGATTTACCTGTTGATGAAGCAGCAATCAAGAGGACCAAAACCTGTGGTAGGTATGAAAAGTGATAAGCAAATAGGATCAGAATTTGAAAAGGCAACAGAAGTAGCACCTGTACCTCCACCAAGGTACAAATACAAAATACAGAAAATAATGAACAAGAGTGAGGAAATGGACAATACTATTGAAACAATAGAGGAGAAGTATAAGAAGTTGGTTAATGATTATGTTTCAATGAATATAAAGAATGTAAGAATTATGAATACAAAAAATGTAAAAACATATCCCATGAAATATGTTTCATAGCAAAGGTACCGTGATGATCGTATAATGAGACTGCTAAACAGATGTTGGATGACTTTCATCCAAGGGCATTAAAATGGTGTTCAACAGATGTTATACCAGATAATGTAGTAAACATGGACATCTGTAAGTCCTATCCTAATGTACTATTAAGTAGTACCCATCCAATACCTTTGTACAGTATGTGCTAAGTTTTATATTGACGAGACTGTTATCAACTATTACAAGTCACCCATTATTATAGAAGCAGATTTTTACAGTGCTAATCTTGTAAGAGACTCAGTAGATGTAATGTACATGCCAATCACACGGATAAAATACGACATCACATCTAAAAGAGCTCTTAAACCAGATACTTTCAAGGAGTATCTTACCTGTAAGTTTGTTTTGAATGAATAACCAGAAGCTGAAGCCAAGAAGATGGCCAATAGTTTCATCGGTGAACTTGGTAGGAAGTATGACAAGATCAACCATGGTTGTACATGCGCAGAATATGATACTGCTATGCGTTGTTGGACATCTGCCATGAATGAGAAGAGAACCTTCCTATTGATCACCATGATGACTTGTATATGATCAGAGAGCAGAGAGTGGAGAGGTTGTTCTCTGACAATACCATAGGCCATACTAAAGTGTTTGCAGCTCATTGATTGTTACTACTCTGAAGATAGTGTATTATATGGTTGTAATGCAGACGGTATTTATAGCACAAGCAGTAAAATGAATTTCAGGAACAAGAAAGATATAAGTTTAGCTAAAAAAAAAACAAAAAAAAACAAACAAACAAATTGGCAAAGCATTCAAGACAGATTCCGAGCCAACATACATTTAAAAGCATTACAGACAAAACATGTGCTTTGATGACTGTCATGTTAAAAAAGGAGATGGTGTGTTACATAATGAACAGGCTGGCAGTGGTGAAACACAAGAGCTCTGTGAGTTGGTTAAACAGTCAGAAGAGTGTATTGTGTTGTCTTTTACTAATAAAGCCGTAAATAATGTCAAAACAAGTTTGCAAGCTTTTGGATACGACAAGACACAGGTCAATAAAATGTGTTACACTTTTGATAGTTACTTGTGGATAAGAGCATTGATAGCCTTGAAGGTAAAGATATCTTCACTGAGGAGTTTAATATGTTACCTAATAAATGGATTACTACAATTTATAAAGCTTTTACAATGTTCAATAACAAGGTATACTCGTTTGGTGATTGCAATCAATGTGAACCTGTAGAAGCTGGTATTCAAGTGCATTATCATTATCAGTTATCAGCTACTATCAATCAAATGTGTCGCACAACAAAAAATAAAATACATTGAACGTACTGATAGATATGATAAAGAGACCAATAATATGCTCGATACATTCCTCAAGACTGATAAGATATCCCCTTACTTTGAACCAATAGGTAAGTACAATGAGAATATCTGTTCTATGAATACTACCAGGATAAGAGTAAATACAGAATGCTGTGATAGATTTGTACAAAACAAAAAAAGAGACCATTGACTTAAAGTATGATGGTAAGACTGAGAAATACAAGGTATGTGTTGGTACTCCTATAACTGCAACACAAAATATCAAAGACAAACAAATGTTCAGTACAATGGAGTTTATTGTGTAGGATATTAAACATAACAACGTTAAGGTAAATGGTGAATGGTTTGACATAAGTAAGTCTGCGGAATACTCCCTAGTTTGAGTTTTACAGTTTATAATACCAAGGTGCAGACATCAATGAGAACTATAATATCTGCGATGTCAATCGCAAGGGTAAAAGACAATTCTATACCGCATAATCTCGTACCAGAAAGTTTGAGCTCATTCATCTGAACTTCAAAGAGCTACCAGAGTACAACCAATGCTGAATTGACATAATTATAGTAAGTTTAATAGTCTATACAAGAATGGTACGATATATAAGATAATGTTTGATGACAGTAGAATACATGTAAGTTCAACATGTGAAAAACTGAATCCAAGGTTGAGATGGCATTTGTCTAACAAAAACAGCTAGGTTTACAAAAACAGAAAGAATAACCCAAAAATTGAGCACATTGTCACAGCTCCTTCTGCTGATAAAAAAATCTTTAGACAACGGAAAGAGTTGTTATATCAGTTGATTAAATATTAGATCAAATCCACTAAAAAAGAGAAAGAAAGTTGAGTATAATGTTGCTGTAGACAGTGAACAACAATTTAAGAGAGTAAGATTACTTCACAAAAGACTGGTAATCAAAGACAACATAGATAAATCATACTTTCCCATTGATGCTTTAGTTGACCGTATGAGATATCACAAGAAAACCCAGTATAATGATTCCTCTAAAGATGAGGCATTAGCCACGATATCAAATGAGAAACAAAAGATTATTGACCAATTAATCATAAATTTTGACTAAATATCATAATCTTTACTTTTCCACAGTGCTATATATTGTACACTGTTAGTCTTAACTAATATAGATAAACTGTTATTTTAATATCTTTATTCTTTACCGCATTTATAATATAATTCTTTTGATCAATTTTAATACCATTTCTTTATCAATATATCATTCTTAAATAATACGAAGATTAATATACTATTATACTAGATAAGAATACACGGAATTACCCTCGTAAACGATTACCAAGAAATAAAAAAGAAGAACTACTAAAGTAGCCATGGGTGACAAGAAAATGCCCTAAAGGCCCCTCCCATATATGGCTCAAGATTTTGGCATTACAGCTCCTGCAGTAAAAGTGATTTTTCTTTGAACCATACAACCTTCATGACCAAAGACTGAGGACTACACGAAGTAATCTGCACTGTTCCTGGAGTTTTTTTATATGTTAAACCAGAGTAGGTGTTACTCACTAAATGGTTATGTAGCTCTCAGTGGTTATCACTGAAATCAAACTCGCGTGATAAAGGAAATGTTTTGAACGAGAAATGAAAGCCTTTTTTTTTTTTTTTAAGAAACTGCGGGTTTACATTGCGACCACGTGTGTATCGGATGTTCCCTGCTGATCAGGTAAGCGTAAGCTGGAAAAAAATCTTTTAACGCAGGATAGTTTATTTCCCTGTTTGTTCCTTGTTTCGAGTATCGTCGTCATAAGGCTGCATCAAGGAACCAACAAACATAAAGCAAAACTTTCAGCTCTCTGACTTCTGTGGTGAGGGCTGTTTATCAATCTACTTAGGTACTTATTTGGTAACTTTACATGTTTTCTTTTCTACAGGAAACAGAAAGAGTGAACATTGGTATGCAAACATCAAGAAACAGCCCTACCTAGGGAAATGATAATCGCTAAGGATGCCTCTTGTTCGACACATTTACCTCCAGTTCGAGAGAATCCGTAGATCCGTGGGTTTTCAGGCCTAGACGTTAAGAAACTTTGTTTACATGGCTCTGGTTCACTGACTCATAATCCTTTTTGTTAAATTATTCATTCTCTCATTCATGTTTACTGTATAAATCATTTCACTGAATAAAAACAAAGAAAACCTTGTACAAAAATGCCTCAAGATTGAGTCTATAGCTAAAACAAAAGCGAGTTTCTGTCAGTTGACGCGCTTCTTTCATCTACTCATTCAAAGATCCAGCCCACAGTCAAATAAACAGTATCATATTTGCATTTGAACGCGATGGTCTGCATCTGCATTTCTACGTCACGCTCGAACGGAAACAACCAAGACCCCCTTTACAGTTTTTGGGGACGGAAACTGAACATAAAGTATCCGTTAACAAAGTAGAATTAATTACTGAAGATTTACCGAGAAGAGTGAACTTAACGTGCTGCTAAAATCATCCACTAATAGGCACAGTAAGCATTTTAGAAACTCGAATACCAATGAAGCTAATTTTGGGCTAAATCTGTCTCGAGTCAGACAAATTATTTTAACAAACAACAGTTCAAAAGTTGATTCCGTTAATCCCGAATCACCCTCTATGTTTATGAAACGTTTTAGACACACACTGATTGTAAAAAGACAGAGCGTTGAGAATGCTGACTCTTGTGCATGCAAGAGAATGGAATTATTTATGTCTCCACTACACACTGGAAGAGCAAAGAAAAGCAAATTTAAGTATAGGTTTAATTTAAATTTTTAAGTGGGTTAGCAAGTTCTGATTGAGCATGTCAAGGTAAAAGTTAAGACAAGCACAAGCACAAGCACTCAACTCAGTCGATCTAGTTTGAGAGGGATAAAAATAGATGACAGATAAAAGTATACAAAGGAAATTCTAGCCCGAGGTCATCTGCATTAAGACTCATTTGAGCCGCAAGAATTTTCAAGTGGCCAACCAGAAGAGGTGTCAATCAACCCTGATTGATTCGCTGAAGTCACGAGAATTTGACTCGTAATTTGACTGAAAGCTGTTAGAAGGGAGCTACATTATCTTTGCCCGTTAATGTTTCTATTCAGGATGGTTAGAACTCTCGAATGCTCAACTTGCTTCAGTTCTTCGTTTTTTGATGTCTACATCGTCAGTTTACAAAGGACAGAAAACGGTCACGACAATCAATAAGCGATCACGAAAGGTAGAAAATTACATTAACTGCAAGATGTGAAAGACTGAACTCAGCAAGATGGTGCCTTACCACCCAGATGTATATACTTCGAAGGTAAGCTTGATAAATCTGACTTTGAAAATGCTAAAAACTTTTGCTTTGCATGCAGGTTACGAAATAGTTTCAACATTTCCGTTGACAAGAGTGACTTGGTTACAACTAATAGGCTGAATTCACAAAATTGTGAACAAATACTATCGTAATGCAGCTATGCTACCCTTTTCACGAGAAAAAAGAATCTAAAGAAGAGGAACGCCTGTTAAACCGAAAGTTTCCGATGAGTCAAACTAAAGACAAATCCAAACGCAAATGGAATTTCGTAAATGTCTTCACCCCCCATAGACAAGGTAGATTAGTGTCAAAGCTCTGAGTTGTTTCTCTCCAGTATACATATCAAATATTATGTACCAATTGAATCGACTTCGGTTATAGATCATATTCCCTCAAACCAAATCAAGACAAGCTTTTACCGATATGCAAGAGTTCTGATGATTAAGGACACCTCATCCACACTTATGTCCGAATAACACTCTAGTGCACTGACATTGAAAGAGTTTATCGAGTGTTGAAGTGCGGGTAAGATTATACTTCATAGCTCTGAAAACCGCTTACAAGACTCACGTGTTGCCTTAATTTGCAATTATCTAAATTCAGAAGCGTATTCCCTTTGACAGCTTACCGTCACGTTTTCATATTTTTAGCAGAATTTCTTGTCACGAAATTCGAAGGAAAATCAAAATTCTTCCTGCAAAACAGGTAAAATATTCAGCAAAATTAGGAAAGCCAGCCAACGTTTACAATCAATCACAATGACCCTTAGCAGAACGAAAAAGATTAAGGAAGGAAAGGACGATAACGATTGCAAGCGATAGACTAAAACAGTGTATGCTCACATTATCACGACGCTGACTCTCTCTAAAACAAATAGCCTGCATTCATTTGCTCCAAGCGGCACATGACGTGAAAATGTTAAACCTTCAAGCGAAAGACCATATGATTACAGATTAAATCAATGACACACAGAAAGATCGTCTCTGAAGTCGTTATATCGAAACATCCTCGGAAGTAAAAAATCTTTTGAAATCGTTGCAAGGTCAACCATTAACTTAACATCGATTCGAGCTGAACATGAATTTGTACCGGCGCTTTGAACTTTTTTCCTATCTACATCGAACGACGTTGAATAATTGTTTAATCATCTTTTTGAACCCAACGTTGCGCTGTTCTATTGCAGAGTATTTACAACCGTCACGCAGCTACTATAAAAATAAGCGTCATTTGAATTAATTAAAGGAAACAAGGAGAGTGATTAAAAAAATAGGCTACCAGACCTTTAGTCAAATGTTACCCTCTCTTGGACATAACAGATTAAAAAATGAAAGGGTTCTTAAATAAAGATATTTAATAAAGAGCTTCTCCTTTGGTTGTGGAAGATTGTGTGACGGAGCAAGTAATTATGTAACCCGCTAAGGATGTTGGGAACTTCAAACATGGCGGACAAGAGAGGCAACTTCAAGGTGAGTGAAATATCTCTAAATGAAAGGACATTTGCTTGAAGACTCCCAACATGGAATTAGGGAAGTTAAAGCTGAATGGCAGACCCGAGCGCTGCAAATTACTGCTAAAATTATGATAGGACATCTAACGAAATAGTTGGCATCGAAAGTTGTGCAGGCAATCGCAATTCCTAAAAAATGTACTGGAGATTATGGCCATTTCTATTGATTTTTTTAACATACTTCTAGGTTATATTTTCCAAGCCCGATTGGAGAATGATATGCCATGCTTTTGACATAAAAATTAACCACAAAATAACAATACTATAGTGAAAACTTTTGACTCACGATGACTTTCAGCTTGTCTCTGAACAGGACAGTTTTCCGAAGTACACACTCATAGTTCCAATTGCCCTTCCTTCATGTTGGCCTAAATCATACAGAGATAAAAACGCCGTAAATACGAGTAAGGGACAAGATGAAGGTTATACAATTTAAACATTATAAGAGAATTACAAGCAAAGAAAAAATCAAAACGTCTTCACATGGATACGATAGAATTTAAGCTACAGCATATGCGCATAGGATCGTTTTTTCAACTGATATTCGGGGAAAAGAGTTAACCTGCAACATTATGAAAGCGACTCTGAGTAAAACCTTTTATGTCATTTGCATTTAAGTATTACAGAAATTCCGAAATACACTACAGCAGCGACAGCAGTGACAGCAGTGAAAGCAGAGGCAGCAGTGGGGAGGATAATGACTCTCTAGTGTCATCTCTCGATCATGGAGACAGGGAAATTTCTCAGAAAACTGTTCAGGTATAACCATCGCATATACATATGTGGCGGATTTTGTACTATTTCTCTTTTTTATTCTTATTTACCAAAAGCCAAATTGGAGGGTTATTAAAATAAGCAACTTCACTTCAAATGTTCCTTTCTCACCATCTCAACTAAAGGCACCCTTCACAGCAGTTACCCTGGATTTTCAGGATATGCCTCCAAGCAGGTAAGGAAAATACTTTTGGAATGCAATAGTACACAATTATTCATTGTCTTTTTGTTGTTTGATTGTCAATTGAATCTTCATATTTAAGCTGAAGAAACTGACCTGTTAATTAGTATGATAAATTATTTCATAACTAACTTTTAATTTGGTATCTATTGTTCAGAAATGTATTTCTTAATGATAAGATATTTAAACAACTAACACAGCCTTCAACCATTGATATTTTCAGAAGTACTCAAGGAGGTTCAAATGCTAAAGGAAATGTCATCCAGCCGGTAAAAGTAAGTTCTGCTATCTTGAGGCATAAATCATCGATTTCTTTTCAAAACTTTTCATAATAGGTGCACAATAAGGAACGGTTAACATCATAAGGAGGCCACATTAACCATATGACAACGGGGGAAAAATCAAACCTTTGGTTTGTAAGATGCATGTAGAAGCTTAAACAACTTTTGCTAAAACAGCTTCAACTACTAAGTATATGTCTGTTTGCATTTTTTTCAGCTCGTGCCCAGGAAACAACCTCGAGTGAAACAAGAGTAAGTACTAATTTCCTGATTGCCATCACGAAGTTTCTTAACCCTGTAACTCCCATGAGTGACCGAGACAGAATTTCTCCTTAAACTATCACTACAATATCAACCAGAAAAGTGATGCGAATAAAGAAAAATATTACTTTGGGATAATTAGTTGATCCAATACTAAATTCTCTGATCTAACATTTTAAGAATTGTATGGTTACCAGTAAGGAGAATTACAAATTTGATCTGGAAATTAAAGGGTTAATCACAACCAACTTTATGTGGCAAGTTGTCTGAAACAAGAGTAAATTACGAAAGTCCTAAAACTAATAATAACAACATGTATTTTTTTTTATCTCTCTATGAGTTTATTTATTCATTTATTTTTCAGGGCAGACATAATAAGGAAGTACGTAAAGGTAAGAAAACTTATAAATTTTGTCATAAGTGACAACAAACTTTCCTTCAGTTCAGATGACGAAAAGAACATTTGAATGAATACAAATGAACTCAAGTCCTTAATCACTAAAACTGCAACAAACAGTTTGAGTATCGCTTTTGCCCGTTTGGCTCTCGATGGCAATTGTTGACACGCAGGAGGCAACAACAGCACTGACACTTCCAAATTAACGGTTATATTGGCTTGCACCTAAAGACAAGTGTTCTCAGAAAATAATACCAAGAAATTACCAAAACAAAAAGCCAAAGAAAAGAGAGAAACTTGTTCAGGGAGCGGTGTCCCTCAAAATCGAAGAAAGACTTCGAGCGTAATGGTGAGAGGGATATTTTTATGTAAGAAACATGTACTGTATATGTACTAAGTACACAAAAAAATTGGAAATTAAAAAACTCTTACTGGCTTGTACTTACAAACAACTGTACGAGTGAAAAACAAAACAAAGCGAAAGAAAAAAGCACATCCTCTGTTTCACTTTCACCTACACAAAATGTCATACTGCAGCAGCGAGTCCACCTCATTTCCTATCTAAACAACGAATGAGTACTTCTAACTCTTGCTCACTGTCCTTGATTTTTAGAGATCAAGCGGAGAAAGAGACATACACCGACCAGATGTTGATCAGTTCATAATTGGTCTCCTCCAGGCTGTGTGCTTGATACTTTTCACATTATTGCTTTTCACGGGAGTGTACATTTATATATACCTAAATTAGAACTAGTATCTATTAAGATAAACATATTTTAAAGATATAAATTAGAATTTCTGTTCATTTGAGGTGAAAAGCTGCTGTATCTTAGAGCAATAGAAAGAAAATACTATATACAAAAGCTGCTGTTGATAAGTTTGTGATTATTTCCTTAATAAGGTATCTGCTTCTTCAAGAAATACTCCTCAAGCCACTGTAATTAGCAAAGTTAATCAACTGACCCATAATAAGGGTATTAAATGGTGTTCAGATGATTATATGCTTTTTGTCATGAACACGTAAAAACAAAAATACTTATGACCCTGTTACATGGTGTAAGGACCAAAGGATATTTCCTAACTTAAAGAAAAAGAACTTAATTCCTCACCCCGTCGCTCCTCCTCACCTTCCTCGAACAAGTCAATTCCATTTGAAATCTAGAAGTGTACCTGCTCTAGTGCTCAGCAAAGCGAATGCATATCAGTGTTTTCAAGCAGTCATTACACTCCATTCAAGTTATCACTATCGAAGCGCGACAGATCATCACAAGAAGGAACACCATTTTTTTAAAAAAATTTCACATAATATGACAGACCAAATGTAAAAATGAATACATTGATAAACAAAATAAAAACAAAAATTAATTGTTCCGCACGTTATTCTCCTACTGGCAGTTTGCTCAGAGGCCTAAGATATCTCCAATCTGACAACCAGATGAATAATAAAAATAAAGTTATCGATAACATTCCGAAAATGAAAACATTAAGTTGACCCCACTATGTTTCGCTCAACATGAATCTCAACTACACGCAATCTTTGGGCAGTATACAATATATGAATATATATGAATAATATATTTAAAACCATGCACCGTGTGCAAGATTCCCAACACCTCCACTAATGTTGATCAAATGAATGGCCTCCCCTGTCTGCCGAGGTTAAACCAAATAGAAAATACATGAATTTTGTTATATTGCTTCAGTTCAGATAACAGAGAAAATATTTGAATGAATACAAATAAACATAACTCCTTAATCACTGCAAACAGTTTGAGTACGGTTTTGTATGATCAGCTTTCTGTGCCAAAACTTTGACTCGCAGAAGGCAACAACAGCAGTGATACTTTCAAAGTAACGGTTATGTTGGCTTGCACCTACAGACAAGTGCTCAAAATAAGTATCAACAATAAATGCCAAAAAAACTTTAATTCCAAGAAATGAAAGAAACCAAAGAACAAAGAAAAGAGGAATGATTTACATCGACACCATATCCTTTCTGCTTAAACCTTCACACTCAATTTTTTTTAGTAAAAGACACCCAGCAATGTTGAGGAACTTACTAAATTCAAAGATAACTCTTCGAGGGCAATGTTGAGTGGATTATTAAAAAATGAAACATGTACCGCATGTACTTAGTACACCGAAAAATTTGGGAATTCATAACCCTCGTACCTAGCTTGTATGTACAAACAACTGTACAAGTGCAAAAAAACAAACAAACAAAAAGACTAACAAACCAAAAACTATCAGAAATACTTTTATTCTGAAAATATAGAAAACTAAACAAAAAACAAGAAAAGAAAACTTTCACATCGACAGTATATCCTCTCTGCTTCCCATGTAAACACGAGATTTCCAAATGAAGATGCCATTAGTCCAAAACCGAGTGAGCTCAAAGCCCTAAGTTATCTCTACTATGACAAAAATAATAGGACACACAACCAAATATTTATTAAAGATGTTCAATACAGAAAACATTTTGAAAATGGAAACATGAAGTTGACCCTAATATCTTTTGCTAAATCTGAAGCTCAACAACACGAAATTTTTGTATAGTATCTAATACGAAACAAAATATATAAAAGTAAAAAAAAAAACATGTACCAAGTGAACGATACCCCACACATCCACTGGAGGGAAAGTCTACACTTAATGGTGATTAAATTAATTCCCTGCTCTCTCTACCGAAATAAGTCTGTCTATTTATGTAAAATGGCCTTGTATTCATAGTAAGCGAAGTTAACTTGGAAGAGCTGTTTCTGATCGTTTTCTTTTCAGACAAAGGAAAGTTCTTTCAGAGGAAAATATTCCCCAACGGATTCATTTCAGGTCTTTTCTGTCATTGCCTGATTATTTTCAACCGTCTTTAGCAATCAAACGTTATAAATAGAACTTTAGATCTGTTTAAAGTCAATAATTTTCACTGACACATCGGTCAACCTATGAAAACAAATATCTTAGAGCTAAAAATAAAAACTCCAATGAAGCGGAAAATAACCATGGTAACTAACCACAAAAAATATATCGTTAAATCAGATATTCAAATGGGTCTACTCTGAGCTTTAATCGAGATTTTAATTTTTATGGGCAGACGTTGGTGATATAGATGCTTCTGATTATATTTCGTCTTCACGGCTTTAACACAGTGGCTTGGGCCACTGACTTAGTGTTTCGCACAGACGTTATTTTTTTACCTCGTTTATCAGTGTGTTGTGAGAGAAAACGACAAAAATCATCCAAGCATTCAGCGAAAGGAAAAGAGAGAAATTTGTTGCATTAATTCACCGAAACGCCCCCGAAAATAATTTGACACAGAACGTTGTCACAACAGACGAAATGAGCGCGTTTGAGTTAAATAATTTCGTTACTGGAATAACACTTATCGCTCCAAGGAATATAGCGGTTTACACAAATCGACAGCAAGATCTGAGGGTTTGTATACATTTTCAAAACTCTTCACCTTTAGTATTTGTACGTTTTCATCACATCTGTATGATTTATATATTCCCATGAGAACCTTGATTGCTCCTTTATCACTCTAAACCGTTGAATCATCGAGGGTTCTTTGTTTACGTCGAAGTAAAATAATCCACAAAGGATATCGTGAAGATAGGAAGCAATATATTTCATTTGCTAACGTAGAGATGGAAAATAAACAATACTTGCGAGGAAAACTCGTTAAAACATACTAGCGAGCAAAAGTGACAAGCGCGGGCTCATTTTCAACCAGCGTGCTCTCCAAAAGAAAGCCATGTGATCAAGAGCGGGTCGTGCGGGAAATATTGGAATTGGACAGTTCCAACGAAGTAGTAAATTAGCCACGAGCAGGAATCGTATCTTTTGAGTTGAAGGTAAAGTTTCGCACAACTCATGTAATAAGCTTATCACAGTTTATACTTCCTATAAATCAGGCCAGAAATTGCTTTCACTTGTCGGTTGACCAAGAGATAAGCGGCGCACGAATTTCTTGCTTGGTACGACGTAAGACAACTAGTATATCATTCTTCTAATGTATCTTTTTTCGCTACTAATTATAATCTACTACTCATTGGCTTGCAAACCGAAGACAGCGGAAAATTAAAAAAGGGCTATTAAATCTTCAGGGTTTGAGCAAATCTAGTAAACAAAGGTCTTAGACGCTACATGCAAAGTTTGAAACATTGTTAGAAAAAGAGATGTTTTGGTATATTTTTCATTACAAACAGCAATCTGTCCTTGTTGGTGTTTTAGGCTAACATGGCTAATAGACAAATGCGACGAGTTGTAAGTATAATAACTCTTCTTATTGTACCATTGTAACCTTTAATGCAAAGAAATCTTTTCAGATCTTATTTGTTTCATCATGACTCATTAGCACAAAAATTTGGAGCATTGTGACAAAGGACTCAACCTTGAGAGTAGCATGACCAAGTAACTTAGATATCAAAACCATAAAGGAGCAGCCTATTGAAATCACAGGTTTATCGAGTAAACAAAGAACTGAAGATCTTCCTTCATATGGAGAGCTTTCGTTACAATCATTGCGAAGGAAGAGGCTCACAAGACAAACAGGGAACAAAAAAGAAATACATTTATCAACAACATTTTATCTTTTATAGATTTTCAAAAGTAATTTCACTACTATTGTACTCATTGCTATGGCTAGAGTCATGATACTCCTTTTTTATTGCTGAAAAGAAAGATAAAAATATTCTCTCTAGTTTATATTAAGTCTCCCCCCCCTCCCCCCCTCAACCCCATTCAGCAATGAAATAAACATCCTCTCTGTGAAGACTACAGACCGAAAAGTAACTGTAATCTTTTTCCACCTACGTCAATCTCATTCCCTGTCGTTGAACATGTTTCCAAGCCAGGCGTTATTGCCATTGGCCAGTTAGCAATGATGTAGAAGATGCTAAAATATATGCAAAGAAAAGAATTATCAGGTACAAATATTACCTTCATTGCTGAGAAGAAAAAAACGAATGGTTTTAGAAGCACTGGAAAGCATTACTCACAAGTTTCATTTCACTTTAAGACCAAACATGAACATTTTTTTATTATTTTGCATCAATCCATAGCAAATGGAAGAATTTATTTACACTTTCGATTCCATGACTATTAAAGATCAGGCTGTACGGGTGAGTGAAATATTGATACAAAAAAACCAGAAATATAAAGAGTGGTTGTTAGTGGAGTTTTGGCTTATGTCAGGACAGCTTTCCAAACAATATTTCTTGTGGAAATTCCTCAGCCTCAAGGGACTTCAAAGCCTACAGGAAATATCATTCAGCCCGGAAAAGTAAGTTCTGTTATCTCAAGGCATAAATCATCAATTTCTTTTTAGATTCAGAACATTTTATAATGTGTGCAATAAGGAACGGTTAGCATCATAAGGAGGCCACATTAACCAAACGACAACGGAAGGAAAATTAGACCTACGGTTTGCAAGATACATGTAGAAGCTTAAACAATTTTTGCTAAAACTGCTTCAACTACTAAAATAGATGTCTTTTTTCTTCTCTTTTTCAGCTCGTGCCCAGGAAACAAACTCAAATGAAAGAAGAGTACGTAATAATTTCCATCATTTGGCCATCACGAAGTTTTTTTAATCACAACCAACCTTATGTGGCAAGTTGCCTAAAACGAAAAAAAGTATTTAAAATGGTCCTAAAACTAAGAATAACAACATATATTTTCTTTATCTCCTTATATGTTTATTTTTTCACTTAATTTTCAGGGCAGATATGATAAGGAATCACATACAGGTAAGAAAACATAAAAACTACATCGAAAATATTTTAATTTTGTCATAGGTGACAAGAAAAAAATATGCTGCAGTTCAGATAACAGAGAAAACATTTGAATGAATACAAATAAACATAACTCCTAAATCATTGCAAAGAGCTTGAGTAAGGATTTTGTATGATTAGCTTTCTATGGCAAAATGTTGACTCGTAGGAGGCAACAACAGCACTGAGACCTCCAAATTAACGGTTATGTTGGCTTGCACCTTAAGACAAGTGTTCTCAGAAAATAATAACAAGAAATTACCAAAACAAAAAGCCAAAGAAAAGAGAGAAACTTGGTCAGGGAGCGGTGTCCCTCAAAATCGAAGAAAGACTTCGAGCGTAATGATGAGAGGGATATTTTTATGTAAGAAACATGTACTGTATGTGCTCAGTACACAAAACAACTGGAAATTAAAAAACTCTTACTGGCTTGTACTTACAAACAACTGTACGAGTGAAAAACAAAACAAAGCGAAAGAAAAAAGCACATCCTCTGTTTCACTTTCACCTACACAAAATGTCATAATGCAGCAGCGAGTCCACCTCATTTCCTATCTAAACAACGAATGAGTGCTTCTAACTCTTGCTCACTATCCTTGATTTTTTTTAGAGATCAAGCGGAGAAAGAGACATACACCGACCAGATGTTGATCAGTTCATAATTGGTCTCCTCCTGG